TCTGCTCCTCCCCTGCTCACATGTTCGCTCTCTCTCTCTCTCAAAATAAATAAACACTTAAAACAATAAAGTTTCCAAAATAAAAAGAACTATGCATCTGGTATGTGCGGTATGTGCGGTCTCCCTCCTGGGACCTTGCTTTTCCCCAGACCTCAGAGAGAACACTGGGGGAGCATGACCTCCATCCTCTGGGGACTCTCGGGGCCCACAGAGTGTGAACAGGACACCTGAGGTCCATTTAAGAGAGTGTGCAGCCACTCCAGAGTAGGTTCCAGAAGCCCTGACAGAGAAATGCCTCAGCTGCTAGCTGGGTAGTTTGAAAGTATAGCCTTTCACCCTGTGGCTCATTCACTTGAAGATCTGCCCTTAACGCCTTTGTTTGGTTTTGTTTGCCTCATTAACTTCCATGTTAGATGAAAATTTTCATCTCCTCCTTCCTACCCTGAAAGTAGAAAAAGGTTTTTTTGTGTGGTTTCAATAAAATTAATATTCACCTCTGTAGAAGCTGGAGGGTGTCTCCACTAAAAACTGGAAAAAAAAGATGGTTACTGCAGTCTTCTTCATAGGCACCAATGTGTAATTCAAGAAAGGAAACTCAAAACTCCAATATAACAGATACAATACGTATACAAGGTTTTTATGTTCATATCATGCACATTTCTCATGACACTAAACTTCAACAACTTTTTTATTTTCTAAGGCAGGCTTCACGCCCGGCATGGAGCCCAACACGGGTCTTGAACTCATGGCCCTGAGATCAAGACCTGAGCTGACATGGAGTGGGATGCTTAACTGACTGAGCCACCAAGACACCCCAACAACTTCCTTCCTAATGGCTAAATAATATCCCACATACAACATCAGCTACACCTTACTTAGCCACTTTCCTACCCTTGGACCCTTAGGGTGTGTGTGTGTGTGTGTGTGTGTGTGTGTGTGTGTGTGTGTGTTGCCAATATAAATAAGGCAGCGCGAGAAGTATTTTGGAGTATAAACCTTTGACCACATCTTTGCCCAAGGAAAAACGACTAGGTCAAAATGTATGTTTTGAAGGCTCTGGATATATATCGACAAACTTCCCTCTAGATCCACTCTACAAGTGTATCTGTCTACCAGCACTGTATGAGCACACCCAACATAGAAGGCTTGAGGTTTACTAACATTTTTTTCCCCAAAGTTAATGGTTAAAAAATCAGCTTGTGTCAAGGGAAAAGCTGAGGGGGTAGTGCTGGGAGCTGTGGGCATTTACTACTGCGCACACAGAGCTGAACCATCAGAAGTGCCTGGTCTGCAAGGGCTGTAGTTTGTTTATCTCGGTTCCCTAGGAGTTTGCACGTCGTTTTATCTCGGTACCCAACTGGCTTGGCTTGGGGCAACGGAAAACGTGCCGGGCGTGGGCCCTGCCCTCATGGGGTACAGAGGCCTGTATCTCAACACCAGGGTACCCGCATGCAGCCTCCGGGAGGTGATCATTACTACGTCATCCACCCTTTCCTGGGCTCCCACCCTGTGTCCGCTGCACCATACATCAGCCCCGGAGTTGACTGTAATTACAGAAGGCAAGAAGAGACACCAGCAGCCCGCCTTCAGCTCCTCGCTCGGCGCTTGCTAAGCTCTGTGTCGGTAGATAAGTCGGTCGCCCCTCAGTTCCCCCATCCATGAGATGGGGACAAAGACAGCGAGGAGGGTGACGAAGAGAGTGCAGGGAGACAATGCACAGGGCCGATTTCACATAATGGCTTCCGATCACAGGTCTGTATTGGCCCGCACAGCAAGAACGCTCAGAAATGTTCTGTACCGTAATTTGGGTTACTGGCCGTTTTTTAGATCGGGGAACTGAGACAGGCGGGACTGCGAGTCACACGCCCAAGGGTACCCTCCATCAGCTTTTCAGCCAGGGCTCCGCTGCCCAGGACAGCACTGCCTCTGAGCAGTCGCTACGCCCGGTGCTTCGCCTACACTCTTCACGGAAGGACTGCTGTTTCTCGTCTGAGGAAGAATGGAGCCCCTGGCACAGGGAGCCATTTGCCCCAGACCCTACGGCGAGGACACAGCCAGGAAGGAGCCGGGTTGTATCTGCCTTCACAGTGCTTCCTGCTCTGGCTTCTGTGCAAGTAAATGGAGTGCACACAGCAGGCACTTGATAAAGACTGAAAGAGACCTGTGCGGCCGAGGGAGCTAGATCCCAGGAACACGCCCTCCGGGAGCAGCCGGGCCGCTGGGAGTCAGCAAGGCACCTGCCACAGCCAGGGAGCCAGGGCACCTCCCCTTCCCGGCCAGCCAGGCCAGCCTCCTCTCCTGGGGCAGAAAAAGCAGGGGGAGGGAGGCCCTGGCAGGCCTGGCACAGGGCCCACCCAGCTCAGGCCCTGGCGAGGCTTCTGAGACTGTTCAGCCTGAAGGAGGGGCGGGCCCTTCCCCCCCCCCCCCCCCCACCCCCCCGGGGGAGCCTACAGCAAGGAAGGAGGAAAGTGCCCCCTGCCCGGGGGCAGGCAGGCAGCATCTCTGGGCCTGGCACCAGCTGCTCAGACCGGGCCTCGAGTGCCCATTACTCATCATTTTCCTGGCCGCTCTGGCTACGCCCTCCTCCCGGCTAGGAGCCTAGCTCCTTAGGATGGGAGGGGGGTCCTGCCAAGCCCCCGCCAACTTAGGGAGACACCCACCTGCCCCGATCCTTGCCACACTAGCCATCCCACACCCCTGCCCAGCATCCCTCCACGCCCCTCTGACCCTCAGAACGTGTCCCCTTTCCCTCCCTCCTGCTCTCTTCTCTCCATCCTACCTCCAAGCAACTCCATTTTTCTTAAAACCCAAATACATCCCTTCTGTCAACCCAGTCTTAATTCCCTAAGAGCCCGCCATCCTCCTGACTCCCAAAGCAGAGCCCCTCAGCCTACTCCTGCCTTGAAAAGTCTTGCTTCCCCCCACACCTCTATTTCTCCTCATTGGCCTTGCCCACCTAGTGTCTGCCTGGAATGGCCCGGTTTAATGGAGCTGATATGAACAGACCTCACCGAATCCTTACCACCATCCTGGAAGCCAGGCAACAATGGGAGTTAAACCCATCTCCACCTACGTCACGAAAGGAGGAGAGGCTGAGGCTCAGAGAGGTGCAGTAAGTGGCTGGAGGTCACACAGCTGCTGAGCTGCTCATCCAGGGTTTGAACCAAGGACTGCTGGCCCCGAAGTCAGTGCTCTCAACTGTCTGCTCCACAGTCTCCTCAAACAGCCCCGGCCAGCCTGGAGCGGGGGATGATCTTTACCTCCTCCAGCCCAAACACCCACATTCCGAGGGCAGCTTCCCCTGGCCTCCTTCACAAGAGCCACCTCTGAGGCATGCTTCACACAGAGCATTTTTCTGCTCAGCTTAAACTTCTGAAGTCTAGGATAACACCTCTGAAGCCTAGCACTGCAATTTGTTCCAGGCTCTGGGAGAGTCAGTTAATTGGAAAGGGCAGGGGTTCAGGGCCACCCCAGGCTGGCAGTTCTTGGGGGTGAGCAGGCTGGAAGCAGTAAGTGGCCCAGGTCTCCAAGAAGCCGTAACTCCTGGAGTAAGTAAGTAGAAGCAGAAACTCAGACTAAGACCCCTAAAACCCCAAAACAGGAGAGGGTCAGAGAGGGTCACACAGCCAATAGATGGCAGAATGGGAACTTCAGGGGGGGAGTCACGTGCTAAGTTGGCACAACTGGGGCCTGAACTGAGGGTCAGGACCTATACTTCAGTCCCCTGTTTTATAATGTTACCGACCAAATCACAAATGAGAATACACCAATTTAAATGTGCAACTCAATCCCCCCGCCCACTCGTGATTCCTTTGCCTTGCTCTGTTTCCTAACCCTCATCACCTTCTAAGACACTTGACATACTTGTGTTATTAGAACCTGAAGTCCACCGATCAGGGATCTTTGTCTCTTTTGCACTCTGGCATACTTCAAGCACCTAGAACAGTGCCTGCTCCATATAGTAAACGCTCAGTAAATATCTGAGGAAGTCAGTCAGTCCAGCAAACTTTTATCGAACACTTATTACGGCCCAGCTGTGAACTGCATCACTTTGCCGGGTCCCAAATCGACCTAGACACGAATGTTCCCTAAACCCTGTAGCAAGCCTGGTTCCAGAAAGGAGCTAGCAAACCAACCCCAATTTGAGCCAAATCCATCCATGTCCTTAAACAACCAAACTCTCAAACAAAACGAAAACATGACACATCTCCGAACTGAAGAGAACCCAAATTTCCTGGAGGCTCCCTATGAGAAGCAACTTCATCTCACCCCCCAAAAGGCCCAGCAAGACTTAGAGAGTCCTCAGCCCCTCGGCCCAGCCACCCAGATTCACAGCTGCTGCTTTTCCAGCATTACTTTGGCGAAACAGGTCTCAGATCTGTCATGGCCCAGCTGGTGAGTGGCACTGGGCCAACTCATGTGTACTGGACGCTCTTCCCCGGGATGTCAGAGGAGAAGAAGGGTCCAGAAATGTCCTTGGCCTTCTGGCCTACTCTCTAGTGCTGTCCAGTACCTCCCAGTGGGAGGGTCGCTGCGGGGGTGGGGGTGGGCAAAATCAGAGCCACCTCTGAAAGTGTGACATCTGCAGACGTGGACTCCCTGGGTTCCTGCAGCAATTCTCAAGGATCCTCCCCTTCAGTCAGCAGGGACAGGAGGGCCAGTGATTCCCAGGTGCCTCTGGGGTTGGCTGAACCAGACTGCAGAAGGCAAGGCTTGGAGATTTTCATATACAGCTTTTGACCAAAGCCAAAAAGCTGTTCCAAGAAGTCCTGGGTCCATTTGTCTCAGTCCAGGGAAGAGAGCAGCAATTATCAGGAAAGCCTGTTCCAGAGAGCCGTAGGGCATTCCAGAAGGGCCGCCCTACTTCTGAATGGTCTTCCAGAAGAGGAAACCAGTCTCCATCAGCAAACCCCCCGGCCCCACGCCCCCCAGCCAATGGGCTACAACAGGAGCTGCAGCAAACACTTAGGGAGCTTCTGTGCCAGGCACTCTGCGTAACCTGCAGCAGAGTGGGGCCTGCCACTGATCCCCGCTCCACTTTCCAGCTGTGCAACCTTAGGCACCTACTGCCTCTCTGAACCAAAGTCTTCTCATCTGCAAAATGAGAGAACGCCGTCTACTTCGTGGGATTGCTGTGGGAGTTCACTGAGATAACGCTTAGGTGAGCCCCGAGCCTGCCACACGGTAGCGCTTAAAAAGGCGCAGTGCTTTCAAAGAAAAGGATGGGCCTATATGGAGAAAAGGGAAATTAAGAGGTCCCTAAAAGTCCTGTAAACCATTATTTACACATTTAGTTATTTCCTAAGCGTTCGTTGATGCCTGTTTGTTTTGTTTTGTTTTTCAAATAAACTTAACCCTCACAGCATCCTGGGGGGGCGGGGGGGGGGTGTAAACGGCGGAGGGCAGAGCAACAGTCCTAATGACAGAGGACGAAAACAAGGCCCCTTGAAGGTCCGGGGAGGCGGCCGGCAAGCACCCGAGGAGGGGCCGTCCGCCCTCAAACCCTCCGGAGTAGGTTCAAAACATCGGACGCGGGGATAAACTGGCTGGAGGCCATCATTAGCGGGGCAGTCGGCGCCAGGACTTTAATTCACCACTGCTAAGAAGTGGTCATCTTTTATCCCTAAAGGAAAAAACGCATGCCAGGGCCCAGACCCTGGGGAAATAAGTCAGCGCCCCGAGACGCCACGCTCGTGCTTTCAACCCTGGGTCAGGCCCCGCAGAAATAAAGGAGATGGCGGCCCCCGTTCCGGAGAAACAACGAGCCCCCAGGGCTCCAAGTGGGGCACCGGGGCCCCAGAGGACACCCCCTGAGCGCCGGCCGGAGGAGGGGAGAGGACGGCGGCGGCCGCTCACCTGGCAGCGGCGTTCTGCGCTCCTGGCAGGGCCAGACCCCAGCCCGTCCGGAGCCAGGCTGGGGTCGCCCCTGCTCGGAGAGGCCCGGCCCCCCGAAGCAGCCGGCGACAGCCCGGAACTCACCTGCCGTCGCAACCGCGCCGCCGCCGCCTATCAGTCAAGCGCACCCACCGCGGCACCGCGCAGGGCCGTGGGGCCCGCTGGCTGCGTCCCGCCTCCTCCCCCTCAGCCGCCCAATCGGAAGAGGCGAACGCCACGGATGGGGGCGGGGCCAGGCGGGCGGTGCGGGCCGGGGGCGGGGCCAGAAGGGTTTGGGGCGGGGCAGGGCGGGGCCGGCGCTCTGCGCTCTGACCTCACTGCTGCGCGCCGGAAGCAACCCGGGCCACGGCACAGGGGCGCGGCGGCTGGACCGCGGGGCCGGCAAGACCATGCCGGTCACCGGGAAGAGTTTCCGCCGGCGCCGGGCCGATTCGGAGTCGGAGGAAGATGAGCAGGACTCAGAGGAGGTTCGGTGCGTTTGGGGTGGGGCTTCCAAGGGGCCGGAAGAGACAGCGGTTTGTGATACTCATCACCGGCCAGGCTCCTCGTTGACTGTGAGCCGAGGTTGTTGTCCCTTTCTGCAGAACAAAAAACTGAGGCTCCTAGGGCTGAGGCCGCCGCCGCAAGGCCGCACAGTAGCGAGAGATGCCCCCAGGATGCGCGGTGGGTCTGATTGCAATGAGTCTAAGCGCAGGGTTGCCTTCTGGATCATTGTGCCTGCGGCTCAGCAGTTGGACAGGGATGCCGGTCGAAGGTGCCTTTTGAGTCTGAGTTCCGCGGAGGGTGTCTCAGACTGTGCGTTGCCTCTTTGCAGATTAAAACTGGAAGAGACCCGCGAGGTGCAGAACTTGAGGAAGAGGCCCAATGGGGTGAGGTGGGTATCGCAGGGGCTCCGCGGGAAGAGAAGGCGGGGATGACAGACACATGTCCCCGCCTGAGTCGCCACCACAACTATCTCTTCAGACATAGCCCCTTCTCTTGACACACTGTACGCCTAACATTGCCCTGAAAGGAGTCCAGTGTTCTTCGCAGACGTTTACCCAGGAGATGGCCCGAGCCGTGTGGTCTTGAGGTTTGCTCCAGAGGTGCAAAAACAGGCTATCAATTCGTGTTTTTATTGCACCTGATTGCAAAATGCACACGAATTGTTAAGTTTGGAAAAAACTTTTGAAGTATAATCGAAAAAGTAAGCAGCACCCGTAATTCTCCCATCCACAGGTAACCAGCGTTAACATGTAATGTTCTGTCCAGTGTCTCTCTTTTTTGGAGATTGCAAGTACTCTTATTCCGTGCTGTTTTCAGCTCATCACGTTTTGGGCATTGACATTATGGATTATTTTCCCCAAAAACCTTTTTAGTGGCTGCATAGTATTCCACTGCGTGTATATGCCATAATTTAACTAATCCCGGGGCGCCTGGGTGGCTCGGTCGGTTAAGCAACTTCGGCTCAGGTCATGATCTCTCGGTTCGTGAGTTCGAGCCCTGCGTCGGGCTCTGTGCTGACAGCTCAGAGCCTGGAGCCTATTTCAGATTCTGTGTCTCCCTCTCTTTGACCCTCCCCTGTTCATGCTCTGTCTCTCACTGTCTCAAAAATAAATAAAACATTAAAAAAATTTTTTTTTAAATTTAACTAATCCCTTACTTAGGGGTTGTAGGTCATTTGTAAATCTTCATCACCAAATACGGGTGCAATAGTATTTTTCTACATTTGTCTTTAGCTTCCTTTTCCCGGAAGTCAAAATCTTAGAAATGAGATTTCCAAGCCCAGATAATGCCAAATGGCTTTGTAGGAAAGCCTACCACTTCACCCTACCCCCTGACCCAGCATCTAGAGTGCTTTATTATTTTTTTTTTAATTTTTTTTTTCAACGTTTATTTATTTTTGGGACAGAGAGAGACAGAGCATGAACAGGGGAGGGGCAGAGAGAGAGGGAGACACAGAATCGGAAACAGGCTCCAGGCTCCGAGCCATCAGCCCAGAGCCCGACGCGGGGCTCGAACTCACGGACCACGAGATCGTGACCTGGCTGAAGTCGGACGCTTAACCGACTGCGCCACCCAGGCGCCCCTAGAGTGCTTTATTTTTAAACTGTTTTATCCTTGTAGGCTTTGCCAGGTGGCTTTGGTGCCCACTCCTCAGATCTTGCCTTTGCTCTAATGTTGCAACCTACAGACTTTCTAAGTGTTCTGCCTCGTGTCTGAATTGTGCCATTTCTCGCTGTCTCTGTCTCTGTCTCACTCTTCCTTTTCTTTCTGCTCAGTGCTGTGGCCCTGCTGGTAGGAGAGAAGGTACAAGAAGAGACCACCCTCGTGGTGAGTTGTGGGGTCCTCCTTGGGAATGGAAAGCTGTGGCTGCTCTCCAGTAGGTGACTGTGTTCTCTTTTTTAAAGAAAGGGGGGGGGGGGCCTGGGTGGCTCAGTTGGTTAAGTGTCCAGCGTCGGCTCAGATCATGATCTCACGGTTCATGGGTTCAAGCCCCACGTCAGGCTCTGTGCTGACAGCTCAGAGCCTGGAGCCTGCTTCAGATTCTGAGTCTCCCTCTCTCTCTAATCCTCCCCCACTCACACTCTGTCTACGTCTCTCTCAAAAATAAATAAACATAAAGTTTTTTTTTTTAAATAAACATTAAAAAAATTTTTTTTAATTAAAATAAATTAAAAAAAAAAAAGACCACTGCCAATTATACAGATGCTTCCTCACAGCTGTGTTTGCTTTCTGCAGGATGACCCCTTTCAGATGAAGACAGGCGGTATGGTGGACATGAAAAAACTGAAGGAAAGGGGCAAAGATAAGTAAGTGGGGGACTCACTGAGATACAAAGTAACCTATAGCCCCTGCCTGGGTCTGTGTGCCTCCAGAGAGCTGGGGCCCACAACAGCAGCTCTCGTGGGGCATTCTGAAGTATCCTTCATGCTTTGTAGTTTAAAAACAAATGAAAGCAATGGGGTGCCTGGGTGGCTCAGTAGGTGAAGCCTCTAACTTGCAGTTCGTGAGTTCGAGCCCCGCATCGGGCTCTGTACTGATGGCTCAGAGCCTGGAGCCTGGTTCAAGTTCTGTTTCTCTCTCCCTCTGCCCCTCCCTTGCTCACGCTTTGTCTCTCTGTCTCTCTCTCACTCTCAAAGATAAACAAACATTAAAAAAAATATATTAAAAAAAATGAAAGCCAGAACTCTTTAAAAGAGTCCTTTAACTCTTTCGCTTAGAGTGCTGCGGGTACTCTCCTTCGGAAAAGGTGCATTGTGTAGTGTGTTTCAGACCCAAGTGGAAATGTTGTTTTTGTTTTTTAAGAAACACATGCTCTGTCTCTCTCAAAAATAAATGGTAAACGTTTAAAAAAAAAAACAAAAAAAACCACATAAGAACACAATTATAAAATAATACATTCAACTAGTGTAAAAGTATCTAGTCATTCCCCAGAGGAATCTCCAACATTTTGCTTGCTTATATTTCTTCTGTTTACATATCACGTGTGTTTTTTTCCACAACCACAAGCAGGATGGGCTTGGGTGTGTGGGTTTTACTTGTATAATATCAGACTTGGCCTCACGGACATGTGACTCAAAGGTTCCACTTCTTTGCCCCTCCCTCCAGGATCAGCGAGGAGGAAGATCTCCACCTGGGGACATCGTTCTCTGCGGAAACCAACCGAAGGGACGAGGATGCCGACATGTGGGTATCAGCCTGGCTGTGAGCGATGAGGCGCTGGATCCAGCCAGATACAGTCCCGAGATATCTAGTCACAGATGACATTTCTAGAATCATCCAAAGGCCAAGGCAGAGTTGGCCCCTGTCACTCCACCTCCCAGGCTCGTGAACTTTGAGGAAAAAAAAATCCTAAACATGCTTTGAAATGATGGTTCTTGGGATTTTAAATTTTTTTTTTTTCAACGTTTATTTATTTTTGGGACAGAGAGAGACAGAGCATGAACGGGGGAGGGGCAGAGAGAGAGGGAGACACAGAATCGGAAACAGGCTCTAGGCTCTGAGCCATCAGCCCAGAGCCCGACGTGGGGCTCGAACTCACGGACCGCGAGATCGTGACCTGGCTGAAGTCGGACGCTTAACCGACTGCGCCACCCAGGCGCCCCGGTTCTTGGGATTTTAGATGCCCCGACTAGTAATGGTTTTCCCCTAAATATTGTAGGAATAAAACACTGCACTTGCCCACCTTTTCACTGACGAGACTGTTAACCAAATGACCACCGTCGACCGTTGCATTCTGTTTTCAGCGAACCTTAACATCTATTAACAGCAATAGATTGGGAGGACACAATCTCACCACAGAGGTTGGTGCTTTAAAGTCAAAAAAAGGTTCTGCGTGGTGAAAAAAACTCGAGTTAATTTTCACGTTTCTCATTTTTTCACGGACTGATGAACACTCCTGGGCCATCACTGCTCTGTGGGCCAGTGTTGGGGACCACTCATTTTAAAGAGAGGTTTTGTGAGCTTCCCGCCTCTCCCTGAGGCCTGTGGGTTTCTCGTTTCAGGATGAAGTACATTGAGACAGAGCTCAAGAAGAGGAAAGGGATCGTGGAACACGAGGAACAGAAAGTCAAGCCAAAGAATGCAGAGGACTGTCTGTACGAACTTCCGGAAAACATCCGTGTCTCCTCAGCCAAGAAGACCGAAGAGATGCTTTCCAACCAGATGCTAAGCGGCATCCCCGAGGTGGACCTAGGCATCGAGTACGTTTCAGACCCCGATCTAGCCTCTCTCCTGCCCGGGGCCCATGGAAGTGCGCTCTGCTTTCCGGCTAAGGGGACTGTTTCTTACCCGTCTCCTTGGAAACCCACAAATAACTCTATTTTCTCGGGTAGGCGGAGATGCTTGTGCCCAGAGCGTCCGAAGGATAGGTCAGCGTTGCTAGGGAGATGCTAGAGAAAGTCTCCCGAAAGCAAAAGCGTGGTGTTTTGTTTGTTGAGATATAATTAAGAAAACACATAACATCATGCTGGTTTCAGGTATACAACGTAAGGATTATTTGTGTGCAAGCGTTTATTTTTACGTGGTCTTTGTTCACAGCTCTTCGGCTGTTCTGCTCAGGCCCTTGTAGTCCTCTGTTCTCTTCTAGCAGGAGC